TGCCCCACCCCCTTATGCTCCCTTCTAAGTTTTCCCTTTCTTCTTCCTAATTTACAGCTGTCCTTTTTATTTTTTGTCTGTCAGCCTTTGTCTGGTTTTCAATGACCCAGACCAATTCTAGCCTTTGGTTGTGCTCTGTATTCTTAGTAACTACAGGCACCTCCTTCAACCTCCCTCCAGACCACAGGTAAATAAGAGTTCAGGACAGACTCTTCACTAAGGTCAAAAGTTTACACTCATTTAACTCATAATTCTTTTTTTACCTGATAAAATCATTAGGCAATAGGAACCAATAACTTCATGTTCAGATAATAAATTATGCAGCAAGGAAAACATACCTCCTACTTTTCCTCAGACTTTACTGATCCTCTTTGTATCAATGTCTTATTCTTTTAACCCCCATGACCCATTCCTCATACTTCACTCATTATATTTATCTTAATCTATCCTGAATCATAATAATAGGTTTATTTAACTTCCTACTAGATCCAAAACTCTCTGAGAGACTCACTGGGAAAAGGAGCATCTTACTCATTGTTGTAATCCCTTAAATTAAGCATCTAACTAAAAATATGGTACAAAATCTGGGTCCTGGTCAGCAACCACTGTGTCCACAACTAATCTTTGCAATTCTCACCCTTATTTTTATTAGGAAATAATGACTCACCCATAGTTAAAATGCTATCAGTGACAGAGTTAATGCACACTACATGTACGAACATTAACTTTAACAATTACTTGACTTAAGAATTATTTTACTTCTGTAGAGACAGTAAGATTATTTTTTAAGGGGAAAAAGGTATTATTTAAATTCCTTATTTCTTTTTCCTTTGTTTCAGGCCTGAGAAGCCTGCTTATTAGATCCAGGGTAAGATCTTGGCCAGATGCCAGGCAAATAATATCAATGGCAAAGCAGGCCTGGTGGAGACTACAGCAAAATGGAAAACTCAGACCCCACCTCAAAGAGACAACCTCCACTGGGCTCTAGCAATCTACTCTCAAGCAGAAACAGCAACCTGTGATTTCTCAAGAGATGCTGGAAATTGAGCCTTCTTAAATGTGAAGCCTTCCAATTTTTTAAAAATAGATTGTTATCGATTTGAGAGGAAGGGAGAGGGAGAGAGAGAGAGAAACATCAGTGATGAGAGAGAATCACTGATCAGCTGCCTCCAACATACCCCACACTGGGGATTGAGCCTGCAACCTGGGCATGTGCCCTGACTGGGAATTGAACTGTGACCTCCTGGTTCATAGGTCAATGCTCAACCATTGAACTATGCTGAAGTCTTCCAATGTTTAAATGGTAACAACTAATTACAATAGATTCCAAATACACTAAGAGCAAGTCTTATACTAGTATATGTGTTGGATTCAGCTCAATTCTTTTTTATGTATTTTAAAATATTCCTGCTGATGGACTTCTTAACGTTTATAACATACTAGAGGCCCAGTGCACAAAATTAATGCATGGGGGGGTGGGGGGCTCCCCTCAGCCCAGCCTGCACCCTCTCCAATCTGGGACCTCTCAGGGGATGTCTGACTGCCAGTTTAGGCCCAGACATCCCTCTCACAATCCGGGACCGTTGGCTCCTAACTGCTCGCCCCTAACCACCTCTGCCTGCCTCCTGATTACCCCCTAACTGCTCCCCTGCTGGTCTGATCACCCCTAACTGCTCCACTGCTGGTCTGATCACCCCTAACTGCCTCAGCCTTGGCCTCCGCCACCGCCACCGCGGCATTGTCTGGAAGGTCGTTTGGTCTAATTAGCATATTACGCTTTTATTAGTGTGTGTGTGTGTATGTGTGTATATATATATGTATATATATAATTTTTTTTTTAAGGTATACTAAGAGACCAACATTTCTTTACTTTCTCTCCCTCACCTTTAGGGGAAATAGAAAAAAATAACAAGAATAATGAGAAGCAGTTCCATAAAATTACAGGGAATACCAGTGACAAACTAACTTAATCTTTTTCTTTCTTGAAAAAGAAATTTGTTAGCAGTTTTGAATATTGAAATTTCTTAGCATAAAAATATATGGAAATAATTTTTTTCTTTTTAAATTTTTTTCCTCAGAACTTACAGAAAGGAAAATATTCAAATAAATGTGATAGTTAAAATTACACAAACTTTTCTGGCCTTAACAAAACTAACAAACATGAGACTAATGATTCACCACGTATACAGAAAAACCAGATACAAAATACTAATGGCATTATTATATTTACACTGGTCAATCTACATACTGTCACTTGACTCTCTTGAGACCAACAGCATCAAACTAGCTGGATACAAAGCTGAACTCTATGACCAGGGAAACCCAGCCTAACAAACCACTGTGGACTCAATCCAGTAACCTGAACCTCCTATCATGTTATAAGTAAGACAACCCATTACTAGTAATCAAATATTAATTTAGTCCAAAAGATTTAATACTTTTATGAAAGATTTGTCATTATTTAACCAAGGGATTAAGGCTTCGTTCTTTCATTTAAAAATAGGAATAGAGCCAAACCGGTTTGGCTCAGTGGATAGAGTGTCGGCTTGAGGACTGAAGGGTCCCAGGTTCAATTCCGGTCAAGGGCATGTACCTTGGTTGCGGGCACATCCCCAGTGGGAGGTGTGCAGGAGGCAGCTGGTCGATGTTTCTCTCTCATCGATGTTTCTAACTCTCTATCCCTCTCCCTTCCTCTCTGTAAAAAATCAATAAAATATATTTTAAAAAATAAATAAATAAAATAAAAATAAAAATAGGAATAGGAAACACGAATTTCATCTCTAAACCTGCTTAGCTTTATGAAGTTAAAATAAAATTTTTAATATAATTAATTGTTGTAGACAGGCCTTTGGAGTTCAAAACATTCTCTAAAATAGCTATCAGTAAGGGACTCCCTACTCCAACAGAATTAGTAGGCAATTTAATGATAATAAAATTATATTATTGTTACTTTGGGAGACCATTTATTTATTGAACACTTACTATATGTCAGGTACTGTTACTGAATATGTTCAGGGTTCCCATTAAACCTTGAAAACAACCATATGAGGAAGGTACCATTATCATCCCCATTTTATAGATGGGGAAACTGACCTTTCCAAGATCACACAGCTAGTAAGTGGTAGTGTCAGGATTCCAACCCAAATCTTGTCTAACTTCAGAATTTTCACGCTTAACCACTACACTGTATTGCCTCCAGTGACTCTGGGTTGATATCTAAGATAAAGAAAAGAGGGAAATTTGTACTTCTCAGTGATAAAATTAAAAACATACTAGAAATGGAGGATACTTTTTAAAAATAAAACAAATCTCATATACATAGTCACATAAATATTTGAATTCTCAAATACATATAATAATGAAAACCTCACACAATGAACTCACAAATACAATTTTTCCTATTCAATCATTCATGTTTATTATTAAAAATTGAATGGAAAGGCTCTGTATTCTCTGCTCAATTTTGCTATCAACCTAAAACTGCTCTATTAAATAAATTATACTTTTTAAAAATTTAAAACTACAATATACTAAATATGCCTAATTTAATTCAGTTATGAACTGGCATAAGACTATATCCTTTCAGTATAAAAAGTTGTACTTTGTTTATTATAACCACAGTGCTGAATATATAGTGGGTACTTTATATTTAACTTACTGATTTTTTTTTTTTTTTTGCAAAAAGGCTTGAAGATGTGTAACAGTGTATAAAATTAGAATTGTATCATTCTCTGAACACCTTTCAGAAAAGTCTGCAATACTAGACATGATATAAGTTGGGATAAAATTAGACCAAAAAAAAAGGGACTCTATTGAACAATATAAAAGGAATACAATACCCCTATACCATGACTGACATAAGATTAACTTCACTTTTCCACCTAAGTACCAAAAGATATAGTCATAAGTCAAAATGGACTAGTATTACAAAATCTTTTCCTAATTTAATTGCTTCTAAATCTTCTAAAGAAATATACCATCCCATCCCCCAAAATAATAATACTTCAAGTCTCAACATATGAACCAAATCTTTTTTCCTCTGATACTCACCAAGGTTGTCAAATTCTAAAAGTCAATTAGGACAGATGTGAGAGATCTATAAAACAAGTTTTGCCTACTATACCACTTCCCATCAAGGAAGAGGTCCACCTTTATATATAAATTCATACCTAAATTCACTTATGAAGGGAACAAGTAAGAGGGAGATACTAACTCTATTCAGAAAAGCCCTTGTTCTATATATTCTGCCGTACCGTCAACATTTAGAAATATTGTATTGCCCACCAACAAAAAGTGTTGAAGGGAAGCACGCTCTTAATTTTATTTCAACGCTGTACTTACAAAGTCTCAACTATTTAAAAAAAATCGCACTAATATTAACAAATGAGAACTCTAAAGCACAAGTTACATACACTGTTGGGGTATGGGCCCTTAAGCACACCTGTAATTCATAAATCTCCTTTCCTTTCTCGCTGACCCACGTTTTCCTGAGTGATCCAAAGACCTTTTTGCAACGCTATGCTTTCAACAGGCTGAAGTGTAGATTTGCAGTGCAGCAAAAACAACGCATTCCGACCAAGACATGTTGCAAACAGTATCAGTGCAATACTCATTCAAACACTCCTAGGCAAAGCTTCCCGCATCGAGCTTCAACACGGAGCACACACAGGGCGATACGACACAATAAACCACAGCTGCCTCGGTAGCTGCAAGCTCAGCTGAATCCCCGGACGCCACTCCGCTTGGAAGGGGCAGAACCATATCCGGTTCTCACCTGATACACATTTTCCCAAGCTTCCCATCTTAAAAACTTATCTTCCCAGAGGAGCAATAAACATACAAAGACGCCAGGGAGTATGCCTGTAGGGAAGATAAGCGATCCAATTAAATCCCTACGCACGGAACCCGAAGCCTCCAAACTTTTCCGAACAAATCACAGCTGACAGAACGGGCTTGTTTTCCCCCTTCTCCCCAGCCCCCGAGCAGCGGGCTTCACTTACTGGTTCGTTGGAGGAGCGGTCAGCGGGATGGCCACCTCTTCTTCCTCGTATTCGGGTCCATCCAGAGAGTCCCCTTCGTCCACGGTTCCCAGGCCGGCCCCCAAAGCGGGCAGCTGGGGAGGCGGCGGCAGAGGGGGGAATCCGCCGCCTGCCCCGAAGGGCTC